GTAGGATCTCGCTCCTTACGCGTAGATTCGGTTGTTCCATTTTCAACACCTTTTTTTTTTTCAACGACCATTCTCGTGAATTTCCATCATGATTTTACCATTGGTTAATTAACAATATCATTCACAACCTCCACGTGGAGAATAATTTTGGAAGGATCTCGCCATTTTTTTCCGGACATCTGGCTAGATTGAGAGGTTTCAGCCCCTTCTAAGGCGTGAAACTGGCCATTTCTTCCTAGGCTTAGATTTACTAATGTACAATTTACAACCACATTCTTGCTCCACAATCTTTTCATAATCGTTCATCTAATCCACCGTCTCATTTGAATCTTACTTCGAAACAAGTAAAAAATTGGCGTCGAGCAACCAAGAAATCAATGTTCAATGAAGAATTACGTAAAAAATACCCACCACTCCAAGTTAAACTGTCAGATTTTCAAATTATTTTTGTTGATCGAACAACATGTCCAGATGAATTGCAGTTTTTACAAGAAGCAACTGTCAACGCATCATGTTTTTCAATCGATCAAGAATCTACGCTACAATTCAATCCTGTGACATATCAAAATGATACCATCCCATCATTAATACAAGTCCAAATACTAGATCAAGGACGAACCTTAGCACCTTAGCAGTTGCATTATTTGAATGTTGTTACCTTCCGTCGCCTAATTCGTCACAATTCCCAACAATTATACAAATTTGGGACAATATTCTCAATGATTCAAAAATTATTAGAGGTTGGGACGATCCATTCGAAGAATTGTCATCGTACGTGCCATATCAAATATTCAAGTAATCTCAACTTTATCGGACGAGAAAACAAAGAGAAGAGAGTGATATCCAATCGCAGTATACGACGTGGACTGAAGGTTGAGTCTCGCTTTCACGCAGAGACCCGAATATGGATGGCGATAATCAAAATGATGAAATCATTATACATGCACCATCGTTAGAATTAGAAGAAAAAGTAAGTCTTCAAAAAGCTCTCTCTAATACCCATCAATTATTTTTAGACAAAACGTGGACAAAAAGCAAATGGTCAGCCGGTTTAAACAGACGATTAGCCACTTACATCGATTCAACACTCTCGGGCATCGAATTAGACCGCAACACAATTGTCTCGACGTCGAAAGATGGTCGAATATAGCCATCGACTGCCTTCATTTCGCCACAATTACCCGCATCAGTCGATACTGAATTCGATTTGGCACCATTTTCACCACCTACTGCTGATTCGAGAGTCGTCACGTTCATCCAATCCGATCCATCATCATCCAGTCGAGAACCGTCAATATCCAACCTGTCCCGTCAGCATCGTAACCATTTTACCAGCCACCACCTTCAAATCCGTCTTCACCGTCTCATCACCCACACCTTTCTGATCAATCTTCATCACTTCATCAAACTCAATCTTCAACTGCTCCTCCTCATCAAAACCTATCAAAATATTATCGTAATAGAAAACTTGATATTCGAAGACGAAAACGTCGTTACTTCTACTCCATTAACCTTTTTAAGCATCCCAAGTTCACCATGCCCGCAATCAAACGTCATCTCAACAATCTACACATTAAATTTACACATATCAAACCGAAAATTGAAAATGGCGAAGAACGCGTGGTAATCGGCTTCTCGCGTCCAAGTTACCGTCGCAGTTGCCGTCAAATCATTTCTGATGACTATTTCACGCGATATAGACGTTTATGAACGATGCTTTGCTTTCTATATTTTTTTCTGTTATTTTCTATATGAACTTATCTAGTTTTTATACTTTCAAATAAAAAAAAATAAAAATAAAATATATTCATTTTTGCGGATAGATGTTACATCCTTTTTGCGGAGGGAGAGGGTGTTACGTCCCTTGACAGGTCATAGTCCTTTTCTGCTTTTTTTTGTTACGCACATATGTATTTCTTTTCTTTGTTATATGTATTGATATCATCGTCCATTTCTTTATTTCTATTATTATCATTTCTGGCTATATTCGTCTGCAGATCATTTAGTTTACTTCAATGTTACTATTTTTCTTTTATGATGTTCGAGACAGTTCTGTCATGGTATATATGTGACTATTTTTCTTCATTTTTGCAGTAGTTGTTATTGTCAGTTTTAGTCGTTACTGTGCGTCGAGCGCGTGTTTTCATATACTCGTTTTTTTTCCATATTAGTTTTAATAAACATATCCATTGAAATAGTTTGTCAGAGCCGTGTAGATCACACGGAAGATAGGTAGGAGACCCCCTCATTTTAGGGAGAGTTTCTGATACCGGATCAAGCGGCTCATGACAGAGCAATAAATAGTTTTGTTTGCCGTGTAAAGTTGCATGGAATGATATATAAAACTTTCCTTCAAACTTGTTGTATTCTGAGAAAAGTACGAAAAACACGTCAGAATGGGTTCGCGAAGCTATTGGTCAAAGCTGATCGATTTTCTCACAGATATGAGGCCGGAAGGGAAACCAAGGGTTTAGAACCCCTTAAAGTCATACGATCTTTCATTCTAGATACCTTTCGAGAAGATCTGAAATAGGACCGATTCTCATTGCACCCTGTCCTTTTCAAACATTTTCGGTCATTCGATTATTCCAGCTACTTTGTGCCTAGTGCAAAAAGTATTTCTGGCGCAACACGCCTCAATAAAACATTCCAAAAGCATTCTGTTCAGTGAAAGTTGTCCATTATACTCGTCTCTATTGAATAAGATATTGTGGTTTTAGATTGGTATCATTATTATGAATTATAGGCCCATCAAGGGGATTGCCTACGGATCAAGTCTACCACGGTGTACCTGATCGATGTTCCAAAAATACGATTGCCACTTCCTAACTTTTCATGCAAGTCTAGTACCTAAGAAATGAAAAAAAACTGGAAAAAAAACACTGGAATACTGCGAAGGAACTGTTCGTTCTAACAACATCAGAAATGTGTAAGCCCACAATATTGCCGATAACGTATGTCCTACGACGTTTAGTTGAATTTGTAATATATTTCAGTAATTGTGTGTGTTTACTTGTTAAATTTAAACGTATAGCCGGTGTCAAAGCTGATCGGAATTCTGAATTAGTTTACGAAGTTTGATTACCATCTCCATGTGAACGATTTGACGTCATAGATATCTATAAGATCATAGATGGAAAAGTAAGCAAGAAGCGAAAAACTCACTTGATGACTGGTGACGCTTTAAATTATCATTTTCACAGGCAAAAATTATTATTATTTGCATCATATGCAAAAGAATGAATGAATCTAATTGTACCAATTGCAGTTCCGAAAATAATGTGACTTTGAGAAGATAATTTTAAAAATAACCTGAAAAACTCAGTCACAACTAGTCATTTAATTATCTGCTCCCAATATTTACTTAGACAAAAAATAGTGGAATATAAAAAATTATATTTATTTATTTTTTTTATTGATATGCCAATATAACAAGGCTCCACTGGCAGAAGTTTTTAATAACGAATGTATAAGAAAATAATAGATATAAAAAGACAGAAAATGTGCGTGCCTAGTTTCTATGCTCGAAAAAAAGAAACATATTACAGACAAGATGGAATGATTTCACAAACAGAGATATTAGCAGATCGACTAACATTTGTATTTACAAACGTCATCAAAACACAGAAACGCACTTTTTACCCCTATCGGTTCAATTTTCACCAAATCCAAAGCGTATGAAACAAAGCAGGGCTTACTGACTTTTAAACTACCGGCGCTTCTTTGAAGAGATATTACGGGACAACGGGATCGGGACCAAAAATGAGTTCTTTCCACGCGACAAAAAAAGATTTTGTCCCGCAGACCCCTCCCCTATCCACGACCCCTGAGTTTTTAATATTGGCCTGCATGATACAAACATATCCGTATTCACGCCGTTTCTAAAATTCGAGGACGGACATGGGCTGACTTGTAAGGGACTAAAGAGTATGGACATGAAGTTTTTGATGCTGTTTCGTCTTCTCTCTGCAGTGCAAATGTCTGCTTCTTAATCTTTCCGCTTAAGAAACACAGAGGACGCACAAAAGCGGACATGGACTGACTTGTAACGAATCCAATGGGTACGAACAGGGAGTTGTTGTTCTTTGTATTGTTTCGTCTTCTTCCTCATCTTTTTCATTCAACTGGACCGTTTCTGCGAAAAATTATCGTTATGTTTTTTGCTGATGATAGGCATACGCCCTTTCGTCTAATCATATGTCCGTCAACTTGAATATATCTTNTTCCGCTTAAGAAACACAGAGGACGCACAAAAGCGGACATGGACTGACTTGTAACGAATCCAATGGGTACGAACAGGGAGTTGTTGTTCTTTGTATTGTTTCGTCTTCTTCCTCATCTTTTTCATTCAACTGGACCGTTTCTGCGAAAAATTATCGTTATGTTTTTTGCTGATGATAGGCATACGCCCTTTCGTCTAATCATATGTCCGTCAACTTGAATATATCTTACTGACGGATTGCTATCGATAGTATTTCATTTGATATCGTTATAAGAAAAATTGAATTCAATGAAACGAAAGAAAGAAAGAGTGTCGATCTTATAATCGAATATACATCCGACTGTGGAAGAAATAGATGAATAAAACCCAGGTGATTTTTTCTATCGTTCGTTTGTTTCGCTGTATTTTGACAAGTGTATCGCTATATTCGATGTCATTTCAGCCCATCACTAACTAAACGTATATATATTAATTATGCTTCATTTATCACAATCTATCTCTTTAGATTTCCTTTTTGTGAAGTGAAGCATGGACCAAATTAGTGTAACGCCCGAGCATGATACATCATGGGAAGACGTTGATGATAGTTGTTTAGAAAATATCAGAGTAACCATTCTGGATAACCTATTATACTTTATTCTTTTCATATGAGCGCAATTGTCAATGGTCATTTTTGAAGTACATGTTATTTATTAGTGGTGTTGTTCATAAGAAAGAATATTGTTTTCTTTCATTACACTGTATTGTTCTAATTCCGGTAACGAATCGTGTGATACCTACGCTGGTCACTGTTTTACAATGATCACACCGTTTCATGCTCAAATCACAGCTCCTGATTTATTTTAGTCAACAAGGGCCATTGGGACATATCGAAATCGACATCCCAAACGTTCGACACTGTTTGTTTCTCACCTTTCAAACTCTAAATATGCTTCAACACCCACAAGTGTTAAACAACATCAAGAAAGCCTTTTGGCTCTTGTTGCCATTGTTGAACAAGGAACGATGAAAACTTCGCTCATTTTTGACAACGATATTTTTAATCAAACAAATTCATTTTTTGCGACAAGTTCAGTTGGAATTCAACAACAAAGCCAAGATTCTAGTAATCAGACACCTTTTTGAAATAATAGATGAGCATACAGAGTCTGCTATTACACAACAAAATGTTGGCTTACTAACTTCACCAATTGATCAAACAGAGCAGATGGTAAGTAGTATTATTTTTGTTCGCCAAGGTCAAGAAAGCTAGGTTTAATTAGTTCCGCTTGTTTTTGTTTTTTCCAGTGTGATAAAGAAATCCAAACTGATCAAACACCAATTCTATCCACGGTGTACGATTCTGTAATTCATTCCTTGTTTCCTAAATATTCTTCAACCATTTGTCTTCCACTTCCATCTTATCGTGATTGTGTAGATGAGGCAATACCATGTACAGATTCGCCTATACCTGAAATATCTTCGCCAAAGGGTTTATCATCCATACTCTTACCACCACTAACATCAAATCGTTTGTCTCCACCTCCTTCATCAAGAAGATTAAATCGTCTATCAGATATTGATAGTATCAAAAATACATCGATGCAAACTGAACAAGAAACAGATACCTCGGTGAGCGACAACGTCTAGCTCAAGATATAGCAAGATTAAGAGAAGCAAATGAGAAAAAAGATGAAACAATCTAGTGGTGGATTGAATCTTCAACAAATGCCAGAATTAAATTTAAAGGTAAGTTATGGTTTAGAAACATGATGCCGTAGTTTGCCATAGCCTAAAATCATGCTGATGTAACATCTTTTTTAGAATTAAGAAAACAAATTCAACTTCTTTCCAAAAATCGTCAACAAACCGAAGCAAATCTTCTGCGTGTTTTGGAAGAATTAACATTGATATGGAAAGTATTGTATTGTGAAGATGAGACAGACGATGATGAGAAAGAAAATTTTTGGCCATTACCAGCAGCAGGTGAATGTCTGAAAACACCTATAAACGGTCGTTTATTATCAAATCAACCTATGCTTGACGAAAATGTTGATGAGTCAGGTCTTATAACAAGAATAAATTCATTATGTCAATTGATTATGGAAAGATTACAAGTTGAGAACAAGTGGCATATGGATTATGAAAAGGTATACACTTGACTATCCTCTTATGCTTTTCATTGAAAAGATGAGATATTTTTAAGGATATTTGTGACAATAATAAATTATGTAACAATGATGATAATCAAATAAAGTTAATACCACTTGATATTGATCATTACAATGATGAATTAACAATGTTAAACAATCAGTTAGATAAAGAACGAAAAAAGACATTCAGTAATATGTATAGAATATATTTATGTTTAAGCATATTGGTCATGCTAATAAAGAATATGATATTCTTCAACAATTAAATAACGAAAAAGAGAAAGAATTGAAGAAAGTAACGGGTAAGATAAATTTGTATCATAAAACTTAAAGCACTTATTATTATGTATTATTTACCAAGAGTGTTGACTTAACCAAAAACAGTTCCTAAAAATGATAGTTTACAAAAATCACTATTTCGTCAAAATTAATCGATATTAAAATAAATTACTGTAAACTGAAGACGATGATCGAATAGGACCACTAAATCAACTCTAACTTCGAAAATACTCATCAACATTTATATTTCTAATATATAAATATTAGAAAGTCTTTTTTTAGAGGAATATGCCATGTTGTATTATGAATATGAAGCGGAACATCCCCGAAATATTGATTTATTAGAAGCTAAAGATCGTTTATGTGATCATATTAAAATGTCAGACGAATGAGGCAATAAAGAAGTAAGAAAATTACATTTTGAATAGATAAATTTTAATTCAGATTAATTCAAGATCAGACAAATTTAAGAAATGGATAAATTTTGTATTTTCATCCAATACACTCATTATAAATTGCTCTATATTCTGCCAGCTTGAGAGATTAAACTAAAGTTAACTAAAATGGATCACTCTTCGCTTCTTTGCTAGTTAGAAGTACACAGTTCTGCTCTATGCCGAGCTATTTTTTAGTAAAGAATACATTTTACTTTTTGAGATACAGGGCTGTCAATATCGGAGCAGAGCACAGGATAAAGATGCACTTTTTATGCCAATTAACAAGCGCAATCAATTCTTAGAGCCGTTCTTAAATAACATAGCTTTCTGGCTTTCTCTTCAGGCCATGGCAGTGTTATAGAATGCTAACAGATGTACGTCCAAAGTGAAAATGGAACTGCAGTGGGAAAGGTTATTGCATCTCGTACTGGTCTCCAGAAACAAAATCATTTTTTTCTGCAGAGAAAGAAATAAACTCACAGACATACTGCAGATGTTACAATATAAGATTTATTCTTTTCTTACACTTCTTATTTGAAGAGAAATATTCTCCTTCTAATGTGGTCATATA